CCAAAAACATATAAAAACACATGGTTTCGCAATACTGATTTGCTAAAACAGCTTCCGCGCGAGCTCTTGCGACATCTTAAGTAAACCCTGAGTTTTCAAGATCCCCTCAACATGCTATTAAACGGGCTTCGCGCGCGCATGTCGAAATCTGTCAAACGCCCTTGCGCGCGTGCCGTCGCGAGAATCCTGTGAACAAGGAAAAACGGGACGAAGTGCACTCGCGCGCGTGGTCGCGCGCGTATGCCGAAAACCTTCAAAACCCATCGGTGCTGGAACGATTTCAAAATCGTGTCCAAAAACCTACAGAAACACTAAGTTTCGCAACACGGAATTTCAACAAAAGCGTGCGTGCGCGCTCTGGCGTTGTCGTCGTGTCGTCGTCGTCGTCGTCGTCGTCGCCGTCCTCCTCCTCCCGCGTCGTCGTCGTCGTCGTCGCATACGTCGTCCTCTGTCTTTCCTCGTGCTCGTCGTCGTCGTCCTCCTTGGCGTCGTGGTCGCTTCCGTCGTCGTTGTCGCTGTGGTCGTCCTTCCTCCTCCTCCCTCGTCGCCGTCGTCGTCCGTCGTCGGCGTCTCATCGTCGTCCTTCTTATTTCGTCGCCGTCGTCGTCGTCGTCATTGTCGTCGTCGTCTTCCCTCCTCCCTCGTCGTTGTCGTCGTCGGCGTCGCCGTCCTTCCTCCTTCTTCGTCGTTCGCGTCGTCGCCGTCCTCCCTCCTCCCTCGTCGTTGTCGTCGTTGTCGTCGTTGTCGCCGTCGTCGTCCTTCCTCCTCCCTCGTTGTTGTCGTCGGCGTCGGCGTCGTTGTCGTCGTCGAAGTCGTCGGAGATGTCGTCGGAGATGTTGTCGTAGTCGTTGTCGTCGGTGTCGTCGTAGTCGGTCTGAAGAGGTTTTGAAAACCAAGTTGCGGGTGGGTGGGTGGGATGTTTGCAAGAGCGTGGGATGTGTCAAATCATGGGTAAAAATCAACAACACCCTTAAGACTTGGCATCGCAGGAACACGACCTATGGGAATGTTCCTATACCGGCCGATCAGGACTTCGCCCTGCGCAAGTCGCAGGCGAAGGCTTATCAGGCCATGCGCGAGGAGGGCCGCAAGTGGATACCGCCCGACTCTGCGGCAGGGACACCTGCTGGAGTGAATGCAGGGGCGCCTGCAGGAGCAGATGGCGCCGCTGAGAAGTTTGATACCTTCACTTCGAGCAGTGGTTCAGCGGCGCATGGCACGGGCACTTGGATTTCGCCCCCCCCCCCCCCTTCCCCTATCCCCCCTTTCGTCCGGTCCGAGAGGGGGCCTGCCGAAGGCCAACTACTGCCACTGGGGATGGGCTGGGCGAAAGCAGACGCCAGACGGAGGACGGAGGAGGCCTCCGGAGATCCCCACAAGTCCGTGGAGGCCTGCAAAGGGCCCCAGAGGCCTCCACGGGCCTCTGGAGACCCGAAGCGGGCCCAAAGACATGCCAAAATTCCGAGCCCAGCCAAAAAAGCCCCCGGGAGGGCGTCTGGAGGCCCGCTCGCGGCGGTACGTTCCCGCCGCCCTGGCCCCGTGCGCCGCTCGGCGGGGCGAGCTGCTGCAGTGCCGCCGTCCGCCCGGACTGGTGCGCCGACGCGTCCAGCGAGAGGCGCGAGGTTCTCTCCCCCTCCCCGTTCCCCGCCCTCCTCCTCCTCCTCCTCCTCCTCCTCCTCCTCCTCCTCCCTCTCCTCCTCCTCCTCCTCCTCTTCTTCTTCGTATTATTCTTATTGTTGTTCTTCTTCTTCTTCTTCTTATTATTATTATTATTCTTATTATTATTACTATTATTATTATTATTACTACTATTATTATTATTATTATTATTACTATTACTATTATTGATATTATTATTATTATCAAACGTATTATTATTATTGTTGTTATTATTCGTAGTATTATTATTATTAAAAGTGTTCCTAATATTCGCTTTATTATTCTTACTAATCTTCTTATGTTTATTATTATCCTTGCTATTAGGTAGTATTTTTATTCTTATTACTATTACTATTCGTGTTCCTTTTCTTCCTCCTCCTCCTCCTCCGCCTCCGCCTCCGCCTCCGCCACTTCCTCCGCCTCCGCCTCCTTCCCTCCCCACGCTGACTCAATATGAATACTAAATGCTCTCCTTCCTCCCCCGAAAACGGCTTGAAGATCGCGCGTGCGCCTCACGGATGGGTCCGAATTGGGTCGCCGTTCCTACGGGCCTTTCCCATCCCAGCGCCTTCGGTCCTTCCAGCACGGCGCTTCCGCTGCAGCGTGCTTCATGCCCTGCCATCCTGTGGTGTTGGGTCCTCGTTTTGAAGAGACGGTGCCCCGCGTTCCTCTCCTCCTCTTCCTCCTCCTCGCCCTCCTCCCTCCAGGGTTCGCATGCCTCACCACCACCCATGTTGGCACACCCCTCACACGTTTCGTGGCCCCATAGGGAGCTCCACCGAAGGCCCCAGTGGCAGGGTTCGCATGCCTCCCCACCACCCATTTCGGCACAACCCTCACACGTTTCGTGGCCCCATAGGGAGCTCCACCGGAGGCCCCAGTGGCAAGGTCCGCATGCCTCCCCACCACCCATTTCGGCACAACCCTCACACGTTTCGTGGCCCCATAGGGAGCTCCACCGAAGGCCCCAGTGGCAGGGTTCGCATGCCTCCCCACCACCCATTTCGGCACACCCCTCACACGTTTCGTGGCCCCATAGGGAGCTCCACCGAAGGCCCCAGTGGCAATGTCACATTTTGCCCCTCCCACCACCCATCTCGGCCACCCCTCACGTTTCGTGGCCCATAGGGAGCTCCACCGAAGGCCCAGTGGCAGGGTTCGCATGCCTCCCCACCACCCATTTCGGCACACCCTCACACGTTTCGTGGCCCCATAGGGAGCTCCACCGAAGGCCCCAGTGGCAGGGTTCGCATGCCTCCCCACCACCCATCTCGGCACACCCTCACACGTTCGTGGCCCCATAGGGAGCTCCACCGAAGGCCCCAGTGGCAGGGTTCCATGCCTCCCCACCACCCATTCGGCACCCCTCACACGCGTGGCCCCAGCTCCGAAGGCCCCAGTCGGCGGTTTCGGGCTCCACCGAAGGCCCCAGCGGCACGGTTCGCATGCCTCCCCACCACCCATTTCGGCACACCCCTCACACGTTTTTGGCCCCGCCCATCGAAGGCACCCTCACACGTTTCGTGGCCCCATAGGGAGCTCCACCGGAGGCCCAGTGGCAGGGATTCGCATGCCTCCCCACCACCCATTTCGGCACACTTTTCACAATTTCGTGGCCCCATAGGGAGCTCCACCGAAGGCCCCAGTGGCAGGGTTCGCATGCCTCCCCACCACATTTCGGCACCCCCTCACACGTTTCGTGGCCCCATAGGGAGCTCCACCGAAGGCCCCAGTGGCTGCGTTCGCATGCCTCCCCACCACCCATTTCGGCACACCCCTCACACGTTTCGTGGCCCCATAGGGAGCTCCACCGAAGGCCCCAGTGGCAGGGTCGCATGCCTCCCCACCACCCATTTCGGCACACCCCTCACACGTTTCGTGGCCCCATAGGGAGCTCCACCGAAGGCCCCAGTGGCAGGGTTCGCATGCCTCCCCACCACCCATTTCGGCACACCCCTCACACGTTTCGTGGCCCCATAGGGAGCTCCACCGAAGGCCCCAGTGGCAGGGTTCGCATGCCTCCCCCACACCCATCTCGGCATACCCCTCACACGCTTCGTGGCCCCATAGGGAGCTCCACCGAAGGCCCCAGTGGAGGGTTCGCATGCCTCCCCACACACATTTCGGCACACCTCACACGTTTCGTGGCCCCATAGGGAGCTCCACCGAAGGCCCCAGTGGCATTGCCTCCCCACCACCAATTTCGGCACACCCTTCACACATGGCCCCATAGGGAGCTCCCCGAAGGCCCCAGTGACAGGGTTCGCATGCCTCCCCACCACCCATCTCGGCACACCCCTCACACGTTTCGTGGCCCCATAGGGAGCTCCACCGAAGGCCCCAGTGGCGGGTCGCATGCCTCCAGGCCCCAGGCCCCAGGCAGGGTCAGGGTTCGCATGCCTCCCCACCACCCATTTCGGCACACCCCTCACACGTTTCGTGGCCCCATAGGGAGCTCCACCGAAGGCCCCAGTGGCAGGGTTCGCATGCCTCCCCACACCCATCTCGGCACACCCCTCACACGTTTCGTGGCCCCATAGGGAGCTCCACCGAAGGCCCCAGTGGCAGGGTTCGCATGCCTCCCCACCACCCATTTCGGCACTCCCCAACACCCATTTCGGCACACCACTTACACGTTTCGTGGCCCCATAGGGATCTCCACCGAAGGTCGGGGGGAGCTTGACACTGGTATCCTTGCGGTACTCGCAGCTGCATATGGTTGGGTCCTTCGCCAGGCTATTTTTTGGGGGGATCGGGGCTGGGCTCCTGTCGTACAGAACGGCGCTCTCGTCGCATCGCGGGCCACGTTTCTCCTCGTTGCTCCTCTCGTCGCAGCGCGGGCCACTTGTCCTCGTTGCTCCTCGTCCGAGTCTTTCCTCATCAGTGTCGCCCGCCAGGTCACCTCCTTCCACTCCTTCGCCTTCCCCTGGTCCTCTGTGAGACGGGTTCGCGGGCGGATCGAGGGACTCTGGAGGCCCAGGGGCGCGCGGGGCGACAAGCGGGAGGCCTCCTTCCTCCCGGATGTTTTGCGCGCTTGAGCCACAATATCACAATAGAGGAGACTGTCCGCACTCCCTGCACAACGCAGACAGTCACCCCAGCGACACTGGACACAGTGTCGCGCAACTCGTGAAACACATCAAACTCTGAGAATAGTCTAGGGGACCTCATGGGACAGGGGGTTGAGTATTTAAAAGACAGCACCCCCTACTTTAGTGCCCCATGAGGTCCGTCACAGCAGCAGACAGGGAGGTGAGGCCTCTAAGATCCACGGACCACGCCCCTTCCCTCTCCCCCCATCGGTTCCGGGCCCGGGTCGGAGGGTATTGGGCCCGGCAGGCCCGGCGGACGCGAGGATGACCTCCTCGGCGTCCTGGCGGGGCGCCCTCCTCCTCCTCTCTCCTCCTCAGCCTCCTCTGCGTCCTCGCCAGCCTCGGTGGACTGGGGTTCTCTCTGTAGAACCTGTCGCGATGCATTCCGAGTCCGGGATTTCAGCGACAGGTTGAGAGATCGCTCGTCGAGCGATCCAGACTCGTCCGTTAGCGCCAGCATCCCCTTGTGCATGAGATCAGTCAGAGCAAAATTCCCTCGTCCTGGGTCGACCTTGGTCAGAGCGTCAGCAGGCATCTTGCAGTGTGGAACCCACCTCACCACTGTCCCCTCGGCTGTCATCGAGTCCCGGACTATCGCCATCTCGATGGCGTTGCGGCGGTCAGCCTTGGCACCCCCGCAGTTCTTGGACAGCGTATCGAAGAGGGACTTCGCATCGACTACGGCGACGCCCTCGGAAGCCTCGGCGATGGCACACTCGTCGACGAGCGCGACTGCAAAGGGGCAGGACGTCCCTGAGTTTCACCATTCAGGCCCCTTCACGTCTCCATACAGGGCATCCCGGAAAACGAGCCACAACCACTGTCCCTCGGCGAGAGCCCCGGAAAGACTCAACGTCTCCGCCGATAAAGTGGACGAAACGACTCGACGGAGCCTCTGACTTCTCCAAGACAAGAGCGAAACACGAGAGCGACGATTATCTTTGATCCTGGAATCCCCTAGCATCACGAGCCAGCCTCCTTGAGCACCATCTCTTTTAGCGGACCCGGGGCCCCCCGCGTCGCTGCACGTGACCATGGTCACGGCACTCAGGTCCAGGGGCCAAATCGTCAGACAGGAGCTGGCCGTGCACCTGAGGTGGCGAGCTACCTTGTTAGCCATGAGAGCCGAGGCTATCTTGACCTGTGGGCATTCGGCGCTCAGCATCGAGGCGGATCCGGACACGTCGGGACGAGACTGGCGGGCCGCCCAGAGAATCTTCGCCACCAGGCCGCGATAGTCTCGGAGCTCTCCTGCATCTAGCAATTCCTCGGGACATTTAACACGCTCCTTGTCGAGTCTCATGGGACGGACCTGCTCCAGGATATTTTTTTCCTGGTCGACGAGAATGCGCCCATCTGACTGCTGGCGGATCCTTCTCCCTGCGTACTCGGCCTCACCGACCTGCCATTTACCGAAATGGAAACGACTGGTCAACAACTTCTTGAGCTCACTCTCATATGAGGGTTCGCAAGAAACAATGAGATCGTCGACCTCAATCACCACAAGAGCCCTGAGACTACCCGAGGCATGGTGGGCAATCCAAAGACACGGCTCCAAAAGGGAGCGCCGGAACCCCAGGGACTTGAGGTGATTGGTCAAGGTCTGATGCCAGCGAATCGGAGCATCGTTCAGGCCGTAGACTGGGGCCACAAGTTCCAGGAGGGCCCCCCGGGGGACGTCAACGCCATCGCATGGCTCGACACATATCTTCCCGTTGGGGCGGGAGAGGGGGTCCGCCTGGCAAAAGGCGTTCTTACAGTCCGCTATCTGAAGCCTCCACTTCTTGCCAGCTATCAGCTGGAGAGCAACCAACAAAGCCTCCTCCTGAGGAGTCGGAGCGTACACGTGCAGAGACTCCGCGTCAGGATCGGCATACCCCCTCACGCACCAGCGTGACTTTGCCTTCTCGCTGGCTCCCGTGCCTTCCTGCGGCTTCCACCGACGGACCATGCGCGACGAGAGAATCCTGGATGGATCCCTCCGACGGACCAGGGTCGCCTCCGCGGGGGAGACCACTCTCACTGCCTTGGTAGCGGTCATGGCGGACCACTCGGCCGCGTCCGCCTTCTTGAACTCCTCTCGCTCTTCTGGACTGAGTTTGTTCCAGACGACCACTTGGCCCCGCCGGGGCCCACCTGGAGTCGGTCCGGCCGTGGCGAACGAGGAGGTCGGACTGTGTTCTTCGCCCCCGGGACTTGGACCCCAAGTCGCCAACTCCTGGAGGAGCATCCGGTCCTGTTCGTCAGCCCCGTCCTCTTCCCTGAGCTCGATCAGGTCCTCCTCCTCTCCGCAAGCCAGTTCGATCAAAGTGCCGGGATCGCCTCTGGCGTCGTCCGCCGAACTCCCTCTGGGCCTCCCACTCCTGAACCCTCTCGGCCACGGAGGCCGACTCTCGGAGCTCCACCGGCGTCACCCCGGGACCCGCGGGAATAACGTGGATGCGAGAGAGCAGCCCGCGCATGGGCGATCCGGCTCGCCGAGTGCGTCGAGACGTCGATCCCTCAGCTGGTCGGGCGGCAGCTCGCGGAGATCTCTCTCTGACTCTTTCAGGCTCGACTGAAGCTCCTGGATTCGAATCGCCTCGACAGCCGTCGATGGTCCTGACTAGACTGGGAGCGGAAGAGGCAGCGGGAGACGGGCTGGGACTGCCTTCTACTCGGGGTCGAGCTCTAGGTGGTTCCTCCAGGCCGGGAGGGGGATGCAACTTATCCTCTTTGTCCTCGAGGGGTTCGGTCCTGACAAATCGACCCAGGTCAGGAGCAGGACGGAGGGGGTACGGGGCATCCAGAGCTCGGCGCAGGTCCTCGGGAAGCTCGCTCTGGTCTCCTAAGCTCACAACCTCGCTGCTCTCAGGAATAGTCGGAAGAGGAGACCGGGCTTCCACCGAGGCTTCCGCGGGCTCCGAGGGACGAGCGGACGCCGTTCCGCCTCCTCCGCCAGTAGTGACCGGTCCTCCTGCCTCGGCCCCGATCGTGTCCTGACCGTCCCAGGCCTCGTCGGGGGGGGAACCCTCGGATTCGACGTCCAGAGCCCCCACCTTCTTGCCTGGGTTGCGAACTTCAGCCTGAAGGGCCCGAAACTCCGGGGTATCCACGAGTTCGGCTCCGAGCGCCTCGGCGCGCGTCGCCTCTCGGACCTGCTCGACCGAGCACTTCCATAGCTTGGTTCGCATCGCGATCCAAACTGTGGTTCCCTTGTGAAAGACGACGGCCCCGGGGCCGACCCACCGGTCTCGTTGCAGCGCGTGAGTTTTCACCCCTGTCACCTTGCGCCACACGTACACCCACTGACCAGGCAGAAAGACGCGATCGACATGGGGTCGAGATCTCCGGGCCTCGGCGAGACGCGACTTGGCGTCCGCGGCCATCAAGGCCTTCTTGGCCTGCTCACGGATCTGATGCTTTCTGGCGAACGCACTGGCCGCACTATCCTCCATGGCGGACTCGGCTTGGACATCTGCTAGGCCGATGTCGCCCACTCCCTCGTCGCTGAGAAGAGACCGTGGCAGTCTGGGGTTCTCTCCGAAGACAAGCTGGTACGGAGAGTACCCAGACCGGTGGTAGTATCGATTCTTTGCGGACACTGTTTCATGGAGCAACAACTCGACCTCGGCATGAGACGTCGGCTGGACATGATCGGAGGCCTCTGTCAGAGCACTCTTGATCCATCCTCCGCGTCGCTCCGCCCGGCCGTTCTGCCACGGAGACGTGGCGTCGCAGACGTGCTGAAACGCGCCTGCATGCTCACAGCCACGGCCGAACGCGCCCAGGATTTCTGATCCTCCATCGCTGATGACGACCTCGGGGGGGCCAAAGATCCTGATCCAGCTCTTGTCAAAAGCCTCCCAGATATTCTCGGACGTCAGTGGCTCCCCGGGGCCGAGCAGATGGCACAGCTGAAAGTTAGTGCCGTGATCGAGCATGTTCAGAACCGTCATCTTAGTGCTGAGAATCGTAACGAACAGACAGTCCACAGCAACGAGCCGATTGAACCGGTAGGTTCGGGGAACGGCGGCTCGACGCCTCCACGACGGTCGGGTGTGGCTGTCACACTGCTCGCAACGAAACTCGTGCTTGACGTATTCTATAACTTCGGGCCGGGCCTGGGCAACCTGCAGCATTTTCAAAAAGGCGTCCCTTGACGGGTGGCCCAGGTCCACGTGGGTCCGGGAAACCTCCAGGCGCTGACTTCGACTGATTGACCCGGCCTGCCTCCCCGTTCTCTGACTAGACCCGAGTCCTTCCCTCCCCTCGCCCTCCTCGGGCTCGTCGTCCGAGCCAAGGTCCTCTTAGGCTGGAAAGGAGGCAACCTGTCGATCGATTGGTCTGGGGGATGGGACCCCTGTCACCCTTCTCTCGGCCAGCCACTCGGGATCCTCCCAGACGCCGGACCACAGGGTTTCCTCCCGGTGCCCGAGGGCGACGATGCGAGCTGACTCCAGGATTCCCTCGCACATGGCCTGGACAAGTCCCGGGGGGTAGTTCTGGGCCGCTCGCGTGAGGGCCCTGCCACAGAGCTGACGATGCTGATGACTCCCGTCGCACCTGAGCAGGAGGGGCTGCAAAATAGACGCACGATTGGTCATGAACCTGGTTGGTTTCTTGTTGGGTTCTCCTCCCTTCACGGACAAACCGTACTGGCAGAGATCGGCAACCCCCGACACGACGCTCGGCCGATTCAAGATTTCCCGCACCGAGTCCATTTCCCAGGAGCTGGCACCCTCGGGGTGCTCTAGAAGGAAACCACGGCCCCGACCCATCTGGTATTCGGCCACTCTAACGCACAGGGACATGAACTTGAGGCCGGCGGTCTCGGGGTCTGCGAGGTCGGTTCCCTTGAGTCGATGCCAACTGGGGCGACGGGCAACGGAGAAGGCCAGACACTCAGGGCTCATGGCGATGACCTCGGGCCGATCTCGCTCTCTGATACCCCACATCGCACGTTCCCCTGACGGAGACCCGAGATCATAACCGGTCCGTAAATCCAGACTCTTGGAAACAGGATAGCCCTGCCCTTTCGGACTGTCCGCGACCCGTGGGACCGAAAAGAGTTCCATGACCAGTTTGCGGCCAGACCCCAAAAGCCAGTCCTGGACGAGCTTTTTCCGCCGCTTCCGCTGCTTCCTCACCGGCCCCTCCCCTCCTACGGCCAACACGGCGTCTCGGACCTCCCTGGGAATCAGGCACTCACTTTCCTGGGAGAAAACCAGTCCTGAGATCGAGGGGGCCCGGCCAAGGGAGCATATACCTTCCCGCGGAGACGCCGGTCCAGCCGGAGTCCTCGAACTCGAGCCGGGCGGAGGCACGTTCGTAGACGCCGAAGCTGTCCACGCCTCTACGGTGGTGTGGTCCAGGGATTCGCTGGCGATGGCGAGCTGTAACTGCCGCGCCGAGAAGTCTGAGGAGAGGGAGTCGTAGAGGGTGTTTCCTGACGCTCCTGAGCAGCGGATCCTGACCCAGTCCGAAAGCCGCTCGCCTAGGTCGCCCGGGTCGGGCCGGCGAACTAAGTAGCAGGCCACTTGGGCCATCAGGCGGCATTTTTCTTCTGGATCGAGCCGGTGGGATTCCCAGCCCCGGGCCCTGGAAACCTCATCGAGCGTGACCGTCCGACCTTCCCTAGTGTCCCACCATATGCCCGAGGCTCTGAAGCTGCTGTCTCGGTGACTTTTGCCGAGACAGCGGGATCGTGCGACAGAGGCTGCTCGCCAGATTTCCCCTCCTTCCCCGGGTTCCGCACAGAAAGATCCTCCTGGAGTGGGTCCCTGGAGGTCCCGACCGTCCTGGATCCCCGAGCTCCCTTGGTCCCCATCCCTGATCCCCCTTCGGCTCTCTGAGCCCCTCAGGTCCCCTTCTGCACGAGCTGCTGGATCGCCAGCGCCAGCTGCGATACCACCTCGCTGTTGGTCTGGATCGCCTTCATCATCTGGTTGAGGTCGGAGCTGCTCGTCTCTACCGTCGTGTCGGCCGAACCGGACGACGCCGCTGGAGTAGCCCTGGCCGCCCTCTTGACGCCCTCCTTGCTGCGACCCTCGACCTTCGGCGGCTCTCAAGGCGGCGTCTCCAGCTGCTTGGTCCTCGCCGCCCGCCGGGCCTCCTTCTCGACCTTCTTGAGCTGCTGGGCCTGCTTCTCGCGGTGCGTGAGGTCCCTCCTCCAGATCATGCTCGAGCACCTCAGGCACTTGACGTAGCGCATGTGCTGATTGCCTGACTCCCAGTGGGCCCAGGGTGGATGAGGGCACTCCAGGGCATTCATCTTCCCGGTCGCCTCGTCGCGCATCTCCTGTATCATCTTGGTCGCTTGTCCCACGTCGGCCACGTGCATCAGCTTGACCGTCATCCGCTTCCAGGCCTTCCTCAGGGAGCTCGTCTGGAGGCCGATGTGGGGCCCTGACGTCGGCTGGGGCGGTGGCGGAGACGTGGGACGGGTCGAGGCCGCGCCGTCCTGCAGCGG